TATAATTCTTTGATACACTTAGGAGTAATGGATGTTGAGCAAGCAGCATCAACTGTTACTTTCGAAGGTGAAGTAGTTCTCTTTGTAACTTTAGTTGGCACATTTGCGACGGTCTTTCCGAAGTAAGTTGTTGGAGAGATGAGCTCGATGTGTTCGGCAACATCATCCGGGACGGAGTATTGAGTAGTTCGAACTTTCGTTACGCCATTGCTTGTATAGCTTTTGAATGATGCATTAAGCATCGAATTGGCCTTCTCAATTGTGGTGGCAAAGGAAATGGTCGATCCATCGCTCACGATATTTTGAGCACCAGCACTTGTCAACCATGAAGTCACCGCGCTGCTTGCATCCGCAGAAGGGGCAAACAAAGCATTGGCTTCATCAATATCGAGATGATTTCCATACTCTGGGTTTCCTGGTGTGGAAACGGCAAGAAGTTTGGCTTCCAATTGATCGAGGTTCTGCATAGCGAGACCAACTGTGAGGGTGATGGCTGCAGTTGAATCTGTTTCTGAAGCCGCAGTCCATCCGCTAGGTGCTGCAGCCAATTTCTCCATGACGGCACCATATGCTGGGAGAGCTTGGGAAAGCAAACCCGCACAAATGGCGGTTTTGGGATACATCATGATTGAAGAGGTTTGATGATATCAATTGTCAGGCAATCGATTAAATCTTCAAAGATGAAGAGGGAGAAAGTGGAAACGGTGAGGAAATGAAGGAGAGAAGAAGCGGTGACTCGAGAAGGGGGTGAAGAGGTACCAGATCCAACTTGACGCCCGGGAAATGCAGCTCTTTATCAACACTTTCCCCAACCTCTGCCAATTCTATTTTGCCATCAACACCTCGGATCACACAACATCGAATTTCCCCTTGTACCTGGCAACCCTCATGTATGTCGGCCGCACAATCTTGGTACTTGCAGGTGAAGATCTCGTCTGAGCGAATGATCGTTCACGATGATATTGACATGCCCCGCCATGGCAAGCCGATGTGATACCAAAGAGTATCATCCGAGCCATGTAATAAGGTACACCAGGGTAGCTTTGAAGCTTTATCACATATGCGGCAGGTGCATCTGCCAAGCACCACCAAAAGCTTAATCATCGGTATTCAATTGGGGTAAGCACCTTCCCATTCAGGATTAGACCCAATGTAGTCCTCTCAATGACTTTTGATGACTTTCAATTGACCTATCAACTTCCTCAATGAGTAAGACAATTTCCGTGATTCCGTATGGCTTTTCCCCGCTTTTTAGATGGTTACGATCATGGTTATGGTTGATCCATGGTCATTGGTCAGTGAACTTTTGTCTGCAGATTTCCGGATTAAAGCTTTTGGTCAATAACGACGATGAGGAGGCAGACGAGGTCGAGTAGCTGAATGATAGGATGGGATGACAGTACCTGAAATAATGTGGCTCCTCAACTAACCGGGGAAATTGATTACCTATGTGTTGTTAACATCTAGAGAAATCTTGTTATTTTTCTGATTGTATGAGCATCCATACTCGAGGATTTCAATCGTGATCATGGATTAGAAAGGATTCAATTCAATTCGATTCAATCCTATCTTCTTATCTCGTACCGGTAGTGTCTGCGTTGTAGATCACGATTAATTGATTCTGTTATCTTTCGCTCGTATCGGTTATCCATGCCATGCTTGCTGTCGCACGGTCTTAAAATCTTGTTGTATCCAAAAAGCTTGGGAAAGGTAGTGAAGGGAAGGGAGGGAAGGGGAAGTCTAAAGAGCTTTTCTAAAATGCGAAGATGTGGAGATGAGAGATGAGATATGTTGAGATAAACAGTAAGTTAATGATTCAAATGAAGTGGAAATGGTCAAGGAGGATCTAGTAATGTTTTCACTCAGATCAGAACGTCGGATGAGATACTGAGGATATTTGATATGTACGATATGAGATAGATATGCAAAATGATCACGTGTCGTCTCAACATCGCAGATGACATCTATATAAAATTGAAGTAATGAATGGGAAGACTGATAAAATTTTATATTATTAAAAGGGATGGGATGATATTCCTAGTATACCTAGGTATTATACGAGTATGTGAAATTTAGGTTATATAAAAGGTTAGATTATATAATAAGTCGATAATCTTACTCTATAGGTATTATAATTCGAAAGTCTAAAGATACAATATATGATAGCACAATTCAAGATTCAAGATTCAAAATTCAAAGTGGAAAAAAAAATATTAATTAATAATAATTCAAGATGATAAGAAAACCGCATCATACCCCAAGAACAAGAATATTTATTCCCTTCTCTCTTCTCTCACTACTCACCATTCATACACATCTATCCCTCATTCTCGCACACACAACTAGCATCATATCCAGCCATTCTCAATCTGCAGTTTGAGTGATGGCTGGCATCGTCGTCTGCACAAATACACCACCGAGTAATGTGAGCATGGTAGTTGGAATGGGTGTATAAGTCGATACTCTAGTATGATTACTGTGAGATGCATGGGTGTGGTTAGAACAGTGTGGTTCATGGGTTGGGAGTTGAATTGCGGTGGTGAGTGCGATGAGGATTGATAGACGGGTTAGAGTTATGAACTTCATGTTGGTGGTTTTGGGGGTGGGTTACTACTTTTTCTTCGTGTCTGGATTCGTTTCAAGAAAGTAGGGTTGCGGTTGCGATAGGACTCGGGGATGAATGGATTGGGGGATGAAGTTGGTGTTTATATAGGGGATTGGAGGGAGTTGTTCTGGGTGTCTGCATGGTTACAAGTGGTAAGTCAAGATTGGTATTTTCTTTGTTGTGATTGTTGTAGGAAGTATCAATTCCGTTGTATTCAAGACCCAGTGAGTGACAAAGAAATGCCTCTTTGCTTGTTGGCTTGAGGAGATCTGATTGTTCTTGAGGTTTCTCGAACATTAAGTTGATGTTTAGTCAGGGAAGTCAAGTACCTAGTAGCCAGTCAAAGAACTACATCTAAAAATTACAAGGTCAATTTTCCATCTCTATTACCAATCTAGATATCGAGGAGTTTGGGAGACTTCCAGCCTTGAGATTAAACTGTTGTGCTCAAGAAGCTTGACTTTATTTGCTACCTACCTAGCATATAACATGATTCATCAAGAGCATTCGATATAAGGGTACTCGATAGAATATAGATACGATACTTAGTAATCCCACCACCAGTGGGTGCACGGACTCACGGGACACTAAAGTGGGAAAGCACAATTTCACACCAAAAGAGCGATTTTAATAATTTAATTAAAATTGAAATTGTTGTTTAATTTGATTGAAATTGAGGTATATATTTTTCAAGCATAAAGATTCTATATAGAATAAATTTTGAATTAAAATGATCAAAATTGAAGTCTTGGTAATAGAATATATAATCTCCCACCAAAAAATTTGGTGGGAAAACGCACTATTGAATTTTTCAGCTCAAATTTCACTTTTTTGAAATAAGCTTCAAGAAAACTATTCTTTAATGCTTGAAAAACACATTGTATCAATTTGAATAAAATTCAATCGAAATTTGAATTTTAATTGAATTATTAAAGTCACTCTTTTTAGTATGAAATTGTGCTTTGCTGTCACGTTGTCCCATGAGTCCGTGCACCCACTGGTGTACTGATCATGACCAAAAGTCCCCAAGGGATGAATTCTGAAAAACTTGTACAGTTGGTGAAACATTAGACAATCGAAGTAACATGATTGTTTGAGAAAGACAAAGACTGAAAGATTCGAAGAATGAACATCTAGCATATAGGAAAGGAAAAGAAGAAACAAAGGGAAGATAAATCATTGAAACAAGAATACGCGACACGTGACTACAAATCACGATCATGCGTGTTGGGTTTGATTAGACCAAGCACCCAACGATCTGCCAAGGCATAGATAAACTCAAATCCATTTGCCAAACACAGCCCCGTTCCTTGGTTGAATGATAAAAAAGGGGGGAACTGAGGTAATAGTAAGAATCGATAGCTGCCGGCGCTAGACTAGAATCTCTTGAAGAACTACGGAATCGGGACTGGATATTGACGAAACGGGTATAGATAGCGTTCCCGAAAAGTTCCCGTGTTGATTTATTTGTAAAAGAAGAAAAGTAGGTTGAAAAAAAGAATGACGTGGGTATTCATGTTGATGTTGAAGTTGACGTTGACGTTGACGTTGACAATTGATGCTTTGAATTTCGCTTTGAATTTGCTATGAATTTGCTTTGAAGTCTAGTCGTGCTTTGATTTTCAAGTTCATGAACCTTATTTGAAGTGATGTTGATCAACGTTTTGACATGTTCCATGCATATGCGAACGAACGCTCAATCGAAACAATGGATGGTGGTGGTGGAGCATTTTATAAGTTATAAGTTAATATCAATCAAGAACTTGCAGTATACTCGTACAGTGAAGATCTCATTAATATATAACCATGATGAAGATCAAGCTATCTGCTAGGTACTTGTATATAGAGAATCCATAGAGAAGTGCATTGGGTAACCGACATCGAATTTACACACCCAATACCGGTATGTGATATGATATGGATGATATGGATCATATGGATCATATGGAGAATATTGGAGTTCATTCGTACTTGCATATCAAAATCCTGTTGATGTTTCCGGCTACTTCAAATCAAATCATGTGATTGGTCAACTCATGAAAATCACCCTTTTTTCCCCATTGAGTAAGCAACCGACGTCATTTCCTTGTTACAACCTACCACCATTCTCAACTATGACCCAGGATTCGTATGATCGTCATGAACTAAAAGCGTATCCGTCCCACTTAACTCTCCAGATCCGCAAGAAAGCAATATCAACAACCATCTATCACTCTCGAAGCTTCCTTCTCGTTTCAATCAATTTATCAATTTGTTAATTTGTTAATCTATCATCACTCAAAACAATCCTTTGTGTCTACTATACACCTAATCCAAAGCTTCAAACCGACAGGAGCCCTTGACCCGCAACACAACAAAGATACCCTTTGAGTAAATCAATCCAGCAGCCTTCACAATGCATCGCACATATTCTATGAGACAATCGCGGGCTCCAACTGTAAGTTATACCAGATAGACTCGATTGGCGATGGCATATCTTTTCGTAAGATTAATGTGAACTTTTACTGACGAGTCTCCTTTCTTTCTTCTTCACAGGCCTCGCAACTTCAAAACCCCCCTCCACCACCTTCGAGTACAAAATCTGGAAAGTTCTTCGGCAGAAGCGGTCTCGGTCAGTACATTTCTTCTATGACGTTTGCGATATGTTATACATGATGGATGTGGGGTACACGCAAGTTTCTGTACACAGGGAGAGGGACGGACAAGGGAAAGACAGAACATCGAGTTGCTCTGTACAGCCCTTCCAGATATGATTACATGATGAACATACTGTTCTGGATATACCAAAATAGGGCGTGTCTGTGTCGGGTATCATCATATCTGTCGCTGTCGTGAACCTTTATTTAAATTCTCATTGCGATAGCTATGAAAAACGACATTCGCTGTGTCATTCAAGGGATGATTTGCTAACAATTATAAACTCAGGCCATGCTATGCGACTCAAGACACACTCTGCCCTCAATACTAGAGGACCAGAGCTTTCCAAAAAGCTTGGTCAACTCGTGAAGATGGAGAAGAATGTCATGCGCAGTATGGAACTCGTCGGAAGAGAGAGAATGGAGGTAGCAGTAAGTCATTCTGTTTATCACATTCAAATGCGTCAATTTAACAGAGCATAGCAACAACTCTCCATTTGGGGTGAGGCTTGCGATGAAGACGTATCAGATGTTACCGACAAGCTCGGTGTATTGCTCTACGAAATTGGTGAACTTGAGGATCAATATGTTGATCGTTATGACCAATATCGTGTTACCATCAAGAGCATCAGAAACATCGAAGCTTCCGTTCAACCAAGCAGAGATCGCAAGCAAAAGATTACTGATCAAATCGCTCAACTCAAATACAAGGAGCCAGAATCTCCAAGAATTGTCGTTCTTGAGCAAGAATTGGTTCGTGCTGAGGCCGAATCTTTGGTCGCTGAAGCTCAACTTTCCAACATCACCCGTGAGAAGCTCAAGGCTGCTTACACCTACCAATTTGATGCTCTCCGTGAACATTGCGAAAAGGTCGCTATCATCGCTGGTTACGGAAAACATCTTTTGGAACTTGTTGATGACACCCCTGTCACACCAGGTGAGACCCGACAAGCATATGATGGATATGAAGCGAGCAAGGCCATCATCCAAGATTGTGAGGATTCTTTAACCAACTGGGTTAACTCCAATGCGGCCGTCTCTTCCAACCTTTCCACTCGCGCTCGTACTTTGTCTCAACGTAGACGAAACAACATTCAACGTAACGCTCAAGGTCATGATCTTACAGGCCAAGATCAACCTTTGAATGATAATGAGAGTGGTCTTTGGATACCAGCTGAAGCTCACAAGGGTGGTGATGAATACGAAGATGAGGAGGAGGAAGAAGAGATTGCTCACTCTCATCAAGGTAGCATCACCAATGGTGAACTAAGAGGTCGTCAAGAAGAGCTCGCATAATGGTCGAACAACTCTTGAATTCAGGAAAAGAATGATGCTGAATGAGAAGATTGTCTAGGTATAATCAGCTTGTGATGGTGTTAAAGGAACGGACTGAATTAGTGGCGGGTATTTCCAAGATTTCTTTAGCTTTGCTTCGAAAGCTGCTATTACTGCTCTGCTCGGAATGGATCGATGATTTTTTCTTTTTTTTCTAATGATGATAATGTTGGAATCAGAATGGGGTGGTAATTGATCATATACGATCTAAGAATACGGGTGTTGAAACCGGCAAATGAGGGTTTGGTGAAGTGGGGAGCTAAAAAGGGTTTGAGGGTATGGGGTGGGAACACGATTATGGGCTTGGAGGCTTTTGTATCTTTAGTTTTTAATGAATGCTTCTATCATTTGAGTTGGTATTTTTGTTTTTGAGAAACTCCTAGCTGTCTTGTTCGGAGTGTCTTCTCTGGGTATCTTGATTCATCCACCATGCCCATCTCATGATCTTCAGATTGTCACTAATTCTACCGACTAACACTAAAGCTATTCCAGACAGTGATCCGCTGTCCCTGCCATCCTTATCACCACACAATTATTCCAATCCTTCAACAAAGATGACCCTCTGTGGTAGATTATACCCAAATATAACGAATGTCGAGCCAGATTCATCTCATTTGTCTAAATGCTATTACATCTTCTCTCCTCACTTTATGGATATTAAACTTCATATCAGTCAGGTAGTTGAATGCTGGCCATGCTTGACGTTGTATAATCGTAGTCTGCTTTGTATTGATACATCTGCATCCACCTCTACCAAGCTCTAGCGATGCGCTATCACATGTGGGATATGCCATGGTACTTCTGTCTTTAATAAGAAAGCATTCCTGTCTTGACGGGAGTATAGCGGGAGGTGGCTGTCTTTGACCAGCGCATCTTGTGCTCGTCTGCGAGTAGATTGGAAGATGTTAGGGTTTAGGTTGTTTTAAATAGGGTTTTTAGGGTTTTTAGGATTTGCGACCGCGTGTTTGGCTTTCGAATTCTTCGAGCTCGATGCGGAGGATGTGGGCGCCGGGGACGACGACGAGACCGAGCCAGCGGGGGGTGATGTTTAGGAGGGGTTGGGGTTGGGGTTGGGACTGCGAGACGGAGGAGGTGGGATCTTTGGGTTGTGTGGATGAGGAGGTTGTGGATGTGGGTGTGGGTGTGGGGGGAGAGGGGGGAATGCGATATTCGTAGGTTTCGGAGAGGATTACGTTGAGGTCCTGGGGTGTGGAGAATGGGTTAGCTTTCTCTTCTTGGGGTTCTTCTTCTTCTTCTTTATCTTTGAGTATACATATGCGTGAGGTTGAGAAATCTTAAAGAAAGGCAAACATACAGAATCGGTACACTTGAATTCCCCCCGAAACATGCGATGATCGGTTGTGTGAACGAGTAGGATTTTTGCAGAGGAGATTGTGCAGATAGGCGCGTGCTTCTTCTCGAGCGGGAGATTCGGAAATCTCTGTGGAGGGTGTGGGTGCGAGAGATGTCATGGCTGTGGCTTTGGTGGTGGATGTGGAGTGAGGAGTGAGGAGAGAGGAGAGGGGTGTTTTGGAGGGGATTTAAGCATGCATACTAGAGAATGAGTTTGGTGGGTTTTGCGATAAGATAAGCTGGAGTGATAGTCACGTGTGAACGTGGGCTCTTATGCGTCATTACGCGGTTAGCGTTTAGTGTAAATGAGGTGGGAAGTGAAGGCAGAAGTCGGATGTGGGATTTAAGATTTGTGAAAGTTATTAGCTGAATTCGCATTGAGAGATGAGAATCTTGGAATTTTTGAAACGCTCTCTTTTGACATGGGATGAATATAATACCATTACATAAGGGTGTAGCTGAGGATTCAGAGTTCTTGTTCATTCTACCTGACTTCAATTACTGTTGATTTCTTAACATTACATTAGGGTTGCCGACACGAATTTCTGATCCGCGAACCTCAATTCTGATATCCAGGATTTCTACACGAAGGTAAAGACTCAAACACCCTCACCATGGGTTGTCACCGGCCTCTGGACATCGTGGCAACCCTGCGCTCGTCCCACTCCCCTCCCAGCTCTCAACCGCAAACGACTCGCCGTCGACCGCCTCAATCTGGATCTATCAATTCCTCAAAGCCGTGCGCGATAAAGAAGGGAATGCGCTCCGCAATTCGCATATCGTGGGATTCTTCCGCAGGATATGCAAAACTTTTGTTTCATGGCATTAAACCTGTTTTTGTGTTTGATGGTGGCGCGCCCATATTGAAACGACAAACGGTATTGGGTAGAAAGAGGAGAGAGAGGGGAGGAGGGAAGATGCTGTTAGGACTGCAGGGAGGCTTTTGGGGGTACAGATGAAGAGGAGGGCGGAGGAGGAAGATAGTGAGAGGAAGAGGAGGGAAAGGGAAGGACGAAGCAGACCTGTTGAAGATGAAGAGGTGGTGCCGGAAGAGCAATTGGCATATGTGGATGAGATAGGGATGTCGGAGCAACAAGTCCAAACGACCCGGAAATTATACAAAAAGGACGCATATCATTTACCTGAATTGACAAATGGCATAGAAGTAATGGGTAGACGGAAGATCCGAGAATCATGTCGGCAGAGAATTGGAAGAATATGCGAGACAGTTTCACAATGGAGAAGATGTGAATTTATATGATTTTAGTAAGATCGATTTTAATGGGGAGTTTTTTATGAGTTTACCAGCGGGGGATCGGTATAATATTTTGAATGCGGCGAGGTTGAGGAGTTAGATTGAGGATGGGGTTGAGTAAGGAACAATTGGAAGAGATGTTTCCGGATAGGATGGCTTTCTCGAAATTCCAAATTGAGAGGGTTAGGGAGGAGAAAACGAGTTGACGCAGAGATTGATGAATTTGAATGGAATGAATGCGGAGGAGCCGATGTTTGGGTTAATGGGGACAAGTAGAATTGCAGGGGAGAGGGGAAGGGAATACGTTTGGTCAAGACTGATGGTGTTGAAGGTGGTTGGGCTTTAGGTGTGGTCTCCTGGAAAAGGGAGTGGGGGATAGAATAAGCCGATTGATGTTGATGATTATGATCGAAAAATAACAAGGTGGACTTGGTGTCTGAATCTGAGGAAGATGATTTCGAGGATGTTCCTGTTGAAGGATTAAATCGGTTACCGAAAGCCAAAGACGATGGGAGGAACATGACTTATAGTGATTTTCAAGCCAGAGAAGTTGCTGAAAGAAGGAAAGAGTACTCCAACTCGAGGAGAAAATCGAATTCAAAACCTACACGAATGCCATCTGAGGATCCGGATTCGCTCTTCGTGGATGATGTAGTCGAACAACCGGGGACACAATTCCTTGAATGCAACTTACGATGATGAGGATGAAGATATTAATCGCGCGATTGCTATGTCATTACAAAAAGATCAAGATGAGGATGTAGGACTTGACGAGGAGGATCATATAAATCGAGCCATTGAACTATCACTCCAAAAGGCTATGGTCAGGAAGAAAGCGGAAGAAGAGGAAGAAGATCTATTTGAGGATGTACCAATGCCAGAATATGAGCAAAAAGCAGTAGCAGATGCTAGACCTCTCACTAAGTCTAGTGGAAAAATGATTGCTCATATGGTTAATAATAGAGCTAATGCTGCTGTGCCGAAACGGAAAGAAGAGACTGAGAAGGTGGATAGTGATAGTGATAGTGATAGTGATATGGATTTTCAATCCGCATTGAGGAAAGCAAGGTCACAAAAGGCACCGGAAAAGTCCGTCAAGCAGCACCAGTTGTTGTGAACAAAAGAATCCTTTCGATGGACCATTGCCGTTCGAGAGTATTCAGTTCAAATCATCTTTTATTCGGCAAGAAGAAACCAGAAGAGTTAACTGGAGAGCCACTAGAGGAAGATGAAGAGGAACTGGCTGGTGGCTTCGAGAAAGAAGATGAAGAAGAAAAGGCGAAACCATTACCTCCTTGGTTAATTGGCAATGATGATATTAGATCACAAGTACAACAGCAGCGCAAGAAAGATCAAGAATTGAACGCGAAGGATCGCGAAAGAGCAGAAGAAGACGAGAGGATTTTTCAACGTGATCACGGGGTTATTCATGTAGACTCTGATGATGATAATGATAGTGATGTTGAAGTTTTGGACAAAGCGCCCACGCCTAATATTGCCGAGAATAGTATGGATGATTTGGCGGAAGCTGTTAAAGCTCAACCGCCGCTGTCTGATGTTCCTCGGGATCGACGGCCATCGGCAGAACCTCGTGCGGAAGATGGTTTAATAGAAGAGTCTGATGAACCGGTAGAGTGGTCGGAGAGTGATTATGGGGACGTTGCTCCCAAGTCTAATAAGGCTTCAGGATCCATACCTCCCGTTGAAGAGAGCCTAGATGTGTCTTCTTCGAAATCAAAATCACCGTCTCCTGTTTTCGAAGATGTGGATCTTCCTGATGTTCAAGCAACTGAACCTACACAACTATCAACTTCTGCAAGAAAAAGTCCGACTCCAGTGTTTGAAGATGTTCAAATGGCAGATGCTATATCTACCTTGCCATCTGGACCCACTGTATCCGACAAGCCACCCTTTGACGATGCATATGATCGTCAAGAAGCTGAAGCGATTCCAGATGAATTCGATTTTAGCGATCCGGAAGAAGAAGAACTAATGACCCAACTCGCTATCGAAGCAGAAGAACATGCTCGCTTTGCCAGTACCCTAAACAACAAATCCGAAAAAGAAAACCATGATTCATACGAGCAAGAACTCAAAAAATTGCGAAGTCAACAAAAGAAAGATCGTAGAGATGCAGATGAGGTATCTCATATCATGATCACAGAATGTCAAGCTCTACTCCGTCTTTTCGGTATTCCTTACATCACCGCACCAATGGAAGCAGAAGCTCAATGTGCTGAGCTTGTCCGTCTGGGTCTTGTAGATGGCATTGTGACTGATGATTCGGATATTTTTCTTTTTGGCGGGACGAGAGTTTACAAAAACTTATTTAATTCCAATAAGCTCGTGGAGTGTTACCTTTCTTCCGATCTGGAAAAAGAACTTTCTCTTCGAGAGATCAACTCATTTCAATAGCTCATTTATTAGGCTCAGATTACACGGAAGGAATTCCAGGCATTGGACCCGTCACCGCTGTGGAGATACTCTCGGAATTTCCATCCCATGCCGGACTTGAAGAATTCAAAGAATGGTGGTCCCTCGTTCAAAATCCTCTTACGACCCCTCCACTCGCAAGCGAGCCAACACTCTTCCGCAAAAAGTTCCGTCGTTCACAAGCGACGAAACTCTTTCTACCCCCCGCATTCCCGAGTCAGGCGGTTACAGAAGCATATCTCAAACCGGATGTTGATAGTACGGCCGAGGCTTTCCAATGGGGAGTCCCAGATCTAGGACAACTGAGAGAATTTTTGATGACCACGGTGGGTTGGAGTCAAGAACGGGTGGATGAAATTTTGGTGCCGGTGATTAGGGATATGAATCGACGGGAGACGGAGGGGACGCAGAGTAATATTACGAGATACTTGAGGGTGGTGTTGGGGTGGGTGGAGTGGGAGGTGGTGGGGGGTGACAGTAGGGAAAAAGGAAGCAAGAGGATGAGAGAGGCGGTGGGGAAATTAAAGGCGAAGAAGAAAGGTGGAGCGGCGAATTCGTTGAAGGATAGAGGTACCTTTGCGGATAATGCGAGGGAGTGGGCGAAGAAGAATGAATTGAGTGTGGAGGCGCAAGCGAAAAGAGATGCGAGTAAAAAGGGGATGGGAAAGGGAAAGGGAAAGAAAAGAGTGGTAGAGGAGGTGGATGGGGATGAGGGGGGTGAAGATGAAGATGAAGATGTGGATGCTGAAATAGATAACAATGAAGCAGATGATTATGGTGATGATGATGAGGAGGAGGAGAAGGGAGAGGGTTCAATAGGTTCTAAACCTAAAGCAGTGGGTTTGGAGAGAGGAAAAGGAAAAGGAAAGTCAGTGGAAGGGGAAGGGAAAGAGGAAGAGGTAATGGAAAAGCGACGGGGCAAGGGGTCAAAAGACCGAAGATCACGGAATGAATTCATATATGTATGATATTTGATTAGATAGATGATGTAAAAATGAATTATGTCGAAATCTCGAAAACGTAAAACTCCGAACCTATATAGAGTTTGATGAAAAAGACGACTATGGTATGGAAGTGCACGCGGAATTCTTGACGACATTGAGGTACTTTAATTAGCGTTGTTTGTTATATATCTTCTGTGTCCTCTGTCATTTAAAAAAATTACTAGCAACATAACAGAAAGCTAGCTACTAGTGTATTTCAACCCAAACTCAATACACGCGCGATCATTCATTCACATTAACAACAACATCCCATCTCCCGTTTCCCTCCCTCGCCTATCATTATCATTACTAACCACTCCCCTCATCCAACCCTACCACTCCATCGTCGACGCACTCGGCGGTAAATCCTCATCCCTCGTTCCCCACACACTTTCATTCCTCCCCAGGGTTAATTCCAAGACGCCCCCCTCCAACCAAAAATCATGCGTCACCCAATTCTTAGTCCACATCTCCCCATTCAGCGTCGCGCTCTGAATATATATATTCTCGTAGGCGCTATCGAAATTGATATTTCTAATCGTGGCCACTTTTCCCGATTGTCCATTCCTGACGCTTACTTCCGGGAAATAGGAAGGAGTGATGAGGTAGACGTTTTGGCCCGAGACGGGCCAGAGTCCCATCATGGCAAGCGTGGTGAAGGAGCCCATGGCGCCGGAATCGTCGTTTCCGGCGATCCCGGCGACCGTGGTGTTGAATTGCGAGGGGATGTAGAAGTGGGAGAAGTGGGCGGACAGGCCGGGGCGGCCGGCATAGTGGAATTGGAAGACGGGGAGGAAGGCTTGTTCGTCGCCGATGTAGAGGAGGCCGGAGGTGTGGAGATAGGCGAGACGGGAGGTGAAGAGGGAGGGGCCGCCGAGAGTGGTGACTAAGGAGGCCATGTCTTGGGGGACGAAAAAGGTGTACATCCAGGAACTGCCTTCGTAGGTTTCGTGGCCGTTGGGGTTGAGGTAGCAGGATGTGAAGTTGTAGAGGGGGGAGCAGAGGGTGGGATCTTGGTAGCCGAATGTTCCGTTTAGATAGCGGGGTTGGAGAAATCCGGTGAAGCCAGTGTCGACGATGGAGTCGGGTGCATCGGTGGATCCGTTGACGAAGGAGGTTTGGTCGGCTTTGTACATGTTTTTCCAATTCTCAGCGCGTCCGAGATACTTTTCAACGTCGCCAGTTTGGCCGAGTCCCTGGGCAATTTCGGCAATGCAGAAATCGTTGTAAGCGTACTCTACTGTTCGGGAGATAGAGCGGGTCATAGGTCCTACTCCATAAGGATCGAAGTCATCGGTTGGAATGTAACCGAGATTCTTCCAGCTGGTAAGGCCACCTCGACCTTCTATGGACCAGTCTGCTGGCTCATCTACATCTTGTTAATGATGTGATGATGAAATGTACCTTGGCAAGCATACCTTCAGCGTCAGATACCACTGCTTCATAACCTGTTGCCCAGTCCACGTCTTGAGTGATATTCTTAACATAAGAATCTGCTAAAACAATATCTGCATTTGAACCTCCTTGAGTAAATCCTTTACAAAGCGACATTCGACAGTCCGGAAGCTTTCCTAGTACACTATTAGCGAACAGTTTAGTCCCAGGAGACTTTTGAGAACGTACCTTCATGACGATAAACATCAATCAAACTTCTCACCATCTGTGTCTGACTATATGGATCCAACAAAGTCAACAACGGATGAATACTTCTAAAAGAATCCCAAATACAATAATAAGAATCATAATAAGGTTCATCGCTGTCCCACAATGGATTCTCCCCCGTGTAATCTTGTGGTGAAATCATGGCCCTATAAGTGCCGGACCAAAAAACAGTTTGGAGTTCATCACTAACACCTGTAGCATCAACACTAATAACCGAAAGTTTTTCTCTCCACGCATCTTCAGCAGCAGTTAACACTTTCTCGAAATCAAAATCTGGTATTTCATTCTCGGCATTCTGACAAGCTTTTGAGATGCTAATGAACGACACTCCTACTCGAGCAAGGATTTGGTTGTTTGCGGGTGCTTTGAATTGTGTCCAGGCTCCTGCTGGAAGAGGAGGTGAATTTATACCATCGGGTGTAACACTGAGATTCTTGGGTTCACTTCCGGCACGATTATTTATGAAAACTCCCGTGTCTCGAATATCTGCACCTTTAAAATCGGCACAAAAATGTAAATCATAGCTTCCAATTCCAAATGAAGGATTGAATGTTCCGGTTCCAGAAAGTCTTCCGGTATCTGGATCGACTTGGACCGAACCATTTGAACGAGACTCCGGCAAATCTGTTAGATCTACTAAGATAAGTGGGCTGTAAGGTAGAGGGGCCTGCCGGGTGGAATATGAATCATTAGATGACGAATTCGAAGGAAAAGTAAATCGATACAATGCGGTATGATTTGTGACAGTTGCTTCTGTATGAATAGAAGTATTTAAGGAAACGGCAAAGTATCCTGGATGAGCCTCAGCAGTCCCATTAATTCTTCTCGATGCTCGATCGATTTTGGTGAAGAAACAATTATTCAAGATATCTCCAGGACAACCTGTTTGTGGAAATAATGGAAAATTTCCAAGTGATGGCGACTTGCGTTTTGGGTCAGTCAAGCAGTAATTTTTTCATGAAATAGTGTTACTCACACCACCCGTGCCGGAATCATGCATATGAGAGAATCCTGTGATATCGGAATTATCTGAGGCAAACCCTCCTTGCTTTTCATCGGGATTGTTCACATCTGCAACTGCTTTGGCCATACCTTGAAACTAATGAGCTCAAATCATCAAGAGAGGAGTTAATAAAGCTTACCAAAAGGTAAAGTGGCTCCAGGAAACACATGACCTGCCGGTATGTCAGTAACAAATCTCAGCACATTTCAGGAAATCAGCAGAACATACCTCCTTTCGCAGTTCCAATGAATGGATCGACGTATTTAAAAACATCAAATTCCTTCTCTATTTGACTTCCAACCCCGATATCTGCCACTACTACCAGGCTCACGAGTAAAGCCTTCCATTGTGATAAACCCCCATGATTATCGTTTCGATATGAAGAAACCTCAAACGAGAGACTCAATTCCGAACAGAAGATAAAAAGTCCCCAAGTTCCTGGGGTATAGACATCCTTCATATCTTTTTCCAACTTGTTTTTACAAACCCGAAGTATCCACTTATCTTAATTGTCCACGATACCATACGACGTTACAATGCCCCCTCATCTGTGCATCGCTTCGTGTTCCCTTGGATTGACTTTGTTCTGAATGATCATCATAGTCTACCTGTCATAGGAGTTGCTAATGTAGAATGCGGGGTAAGGTTAGCGAGCAGGGGAGATGCGGACATGTACGCCATTGCCGGTGTGGAACTTGGCGTGAGGAGGTTTGCGGTGAAGGCATACTTGGATACTTTATGCAGATCATATCTTGGTATGTTTGAATGCTTGGATTTGCTTGCAAGAGTGTTATGATGTGTTGTGGATATTCGGTTGGAGATTGAATCCTTTTGAGTTTGTGAAAATCGGTATAATGACTTCCGAGGGAATGGATAGAGACTGGGATCCGTAGTGTAATTGGAAAATAGTATGTATGAGGGATAGATCATGGATGAAGATGCTCAAGATGATCACATCATATGTTGCTGGATCCTGTCTGGAGGAGTTTCCGAGCTTCGATGGAGATACCGAACAAAGCATTGCAGCACGTGTACGTCATGTGACTGTACAGATTTCCGAGTCCTTACAAAGTTTGTAAGTTAAAACTCTAATCAACAGTATTTTTTCTCACAAACCAACGACAAACAACAAAGCGTACTGATCGTTTTTAACTCATGCCAGATGTAAATCGAAATACGAGATAACTTATCTTAACAGCCGGAGTTGAACTTGTTGACCTTGAGGCAAATTTCTTGAAAACAACCAGAAGATGGGAACTCGAGAAACGTGAAGGTAAATTATATTCCATTTCTTGTTGAATATTAAAACTACAAGTGTTGCGTCAATAAAGATACTCTCTAATAAGCTTCAAAACAATTTCAGAGTAGAGCCGTGGCAGCAGTCATCCTATTGCCAATTCCACAAAGCTCCCGTACACAAATTTCAATCTCTTCCAGCCTCGTCGTCATTCCAATTACCTCCATTTACATCAAAGTTCTTTAGAACCTCCTTATTCAGTACCCCTTTTCCCCATATTCCTTGGAATTCCTCACACACCTCCTTCCACCAAGAAACAAAAGAGTGCATTTCTCTGACCCATTTAATCTGTTGATCAAGAGAATGTCCCTCAACGATTTCTATGCACTTTCTGTGGGTGCACGTGTCCAAGTAGTATTGTGTGTAGACTACTAAGGCATCGTACATACATTCAGGGGTGTCTTCAAGGATAGCGTGGTTGTAGGGAGTAGACCTTGTGAGGGAGATGAGGATATCGATGGCTCGCGTGAATTCAAAGGAACGCATAGGAATGGCCTCTGGGTATGTGACAGCCCATTTCTTAGAGATGTTTTGTTCGATAGAGGCTGTGGATTCAGACGAAGTGACACAGCGACGCCCTTTTATTTTTCCCTCTGCCAATAATTCTTCCGTTGCTTTCTTCAATGCCTCCCCAAATGCGTCCAACTTCAAAAAATTGGAATGATCTTCTGACTACGGCTGCAGTAGTCGCGATAAACATTTCGTCCATGGAATTGTCGAACTCGTTCCCAGTTGATTCACAACACTTCTTCTGAAACATACTTGTAAAACTTTGTTTGAATTGCTCTGCAGTAGCAATGAGAAGGTCCTTTATTACACATTCAATCGATGCAACTGAGATATCCTTCATTTCAGGCAAATTTCCTGTCCCGCTTGTTTTGTTAGCGTCGACTTTGCTTTTTTCATCACCGCTATCGGTACTGTAGTGGGCAGATCCAGACTCGGATGTATCAGAAGTCTCATCATCAGCGTCCTGTTGGTCATCAGGGCTAATTTCCTCAATATTTTCTTCGTTCATCTTCTCAAAGCTTTGTATGTTGGTGGTAGTGGGTTTTTTGTTGACGATTTCGTTTCCATGAGCGGTTGAGCAAGAGGTACCATGGCAGCCCTTTAATCTTATAAACTCGTCATAGTTTGACTGAATAAAAGCTTGTTGCAACATAGCAGCTTCATCGTCGAAATCTGCAGGCAATGGGAAATCTTCTCCCCATCGAGACTTCATGGCTCCCCAAACGGGCTCTTCACGGACCTTCTTCGAAGAGTTTCCTATTGATGCAACCCCTCCGACATCATTGTCTCGTATGTCATTTGTTTCAATAGCTTCGGATTCCTTCGCAAAGGGTACAACACCTTGGCAGTTAGTTTCAGAAGAAGCAGGAACCTTGAACGAAGTGAGCGAATTAGGCTGTTCTTCTTCAGTCTTCCTCGCATAAGCCTCTTCTGCCTCTCTAATCAACCGGTCCAAGCCTTTCCGACACGCTTCGAAAACTTCTCCTAATGTTTGCAAGTCCTTCGCCAACTGTCCGCTTCGAACAAACTTAAAGATCTTAATTATGAGCCTCATGTCTTCGGTTCTGTTGTTAGACTCTGTTCCTGTCTCTTCGTCTAAAGACACTAAGGCCTTGAGATACATTTCATCCCGCGTATTTCTGTCATCAATCTTCTGCAATTGTCTTTCCAGTTTTCCGCTCATAAACATACGTTTTACGCTCTCAATGACGAGGGCTAACTTTTTCATCTCCTTCTTATTTCTGTTTCTTCCTCGCCATACAATAGCTCGAGAATCTTCAAATAAGTTTCCGAATCTCCTCTTTTGTGTGCAATGGCCCATTGCCCTCTCTTTTCTGGGCCTCGGGGAGCGAATTTTATGCCTTTAACCATGTTTTCCTTTCCACCAAACAAGTCTGTTCCAATAGTAGTCGAATGATTATCAATTCCACTGCCTGCTTTCATTTGTCCAATCCTTGGAGATGCTTGATTCACTTCCAAGCCCTCGCAAAGTTTGACAAGGACCGGAAGGTCATCCTTTGTTTCTTCCCCCTCCCTTCTTTCTTCAGTCAAACTAGACGGCAATTTCTCTTCCACCTTCCCAGTGTCCTCATCCATACCTCTGTTCTCCGCAGTGGACTCATTTTCACAACAAGTTACGCCTGCAAGGCTTGTCAATGGAGCGGAAGCAATGACTTCTGGCTCCTCTTTTTTCCTTATTACTAGCTTTAGTCTGTGTCTTTTCTCCAAAACTCGCCTCTCCCTTCTTGATAGAGGATTCTCGGGAGCTTTGGATTTGTCCGCGGTTATGTTAACCTGGGCATCTATCTTTCTTTCTACCAGATTCCATGTCATTCGTTGTCTTTTTGGTGGAGATGGAGTGTTCCGGGCTTCCTTTTCCTCTTCTGCTGAGAGATATGAAGTGCCTAGGTATCTAAATGATTCCTCGGTGAGTTTGGAAATTGAGGAAGGTGACGGAGACTTCTCAAGGCCGCGCTTAGGAGATCTGCACTTTTTCTCGGGTGTTTGGGGCGACGATGGCGGAGCTATAAGCATTTTGGATAAGCATTTGGTGTTTTTTGAGATATCGCTACTTTCTGAACCAAGGAAATCAATATCCCTATGTGGCATTGTTTCGAAAATTCTTCTCTCAATAGTTTTGTGAAGTAATTGATGAGGATCGATGAAGAGGATGTTGCCGTGATCTAGCAAAATGGTATGGGCTCGATTTGTGCGTTGTTGATGCGAGTGATGTTTGATTTGAGTTCTGATAATCACTGTTGAAATGTAAGCAATGATATATCAATCATAGTAACCAAGAATGAGAAGTGTTCTATTCTCTTTTGCGTGAAGTGTTTGTGTGTACAATAGAAGGAAGGGAAAGTCGATATTTGGTGTCTGCTTTTAGTGGTTTTCATCTGGCACTTTCCTTATCGGGAGTTACAGAATAGAGATGCAATATTGAGCAACAATGATTGCTAGTCAAGCAACTCATACGATGTACAACTTGCAAGTGCAGCCAGGTATATGAGTCTTGTGTGAGGCAAGTGCGACTGAGGAAAGAAGCTCCACGTTTAACGATTTGAGGGCAGCAATGAGAGTTCTATTTTGTATTTTCTATTGTACATTGTAGCTCTTATTCTCGCCACTTACTAAAAGTCGTCGCAGAGCTATTAAGGGTACATATTTTATTGAGACAATTGTTGCCTGATCATACCCAGTGAACCACACTGATGAAGGCTCCGTATGCAGGTTTGCCAGCTCTACAAAGAGATATAGTAGGAAATATCTCGAGTCCAAGCCTTTTTCTAAGGGTCGAGATGTGTATCTTTCTTTTTCTGAAACGATTACCACCTCTATTTCATTCTGGCGGGGTATCACCTGGATTCCTCGACCCACGCTTCATTTTCTTGAATGCTCTCATTCTCTGCATTGATTTCCATTCTTCGGGTTCCGGACAGACCACATCTTCCATCACTTCGTCAACCAACTCGTTAACATCTTCCCTCGTCCTCTTTTGAGTGTTCGCTCTTGCAGGCTGTCCCCCACTACGACTACTTCCTGTCTGTGAACTTTCCCCCGTCTCTTCAATCCCCGGGGGCAAAACATCCCGTTTTTCAATCCGCAACTTTGCTTCCGTTATCTTCCCCCAGTCAATATAATCCCGGAACAACTCCTTCCATCCTTCTGAAACTTGGACAATCTCTGGTTCTAGCCAAACCAGCCTCGCCAAGCCTTGAGTGAGTAACCTCCAGCATTTATGTCGAATTGGTATTGTCAACTTCTCAACACCTCCTGCCTTCTCTGCTTCACAATTTGCAACCATCATTGACGCCGCACTCTTCGCAAAAGATCCAATGTATTTATTTGAAGATATTTGAGAACACAACTGTCTCGCCTTGTCGTAATCTTTCAAATTATGCATCGCCGCGGTGGCCTCGAGCAGCATATCGAACTCCTTCTGTTCTGTGGGATAATTATTTGCGACTCCCCTTCTACTTGGAATGAAAAATAATGCTTGGCATTGCTCCAGACGGTTGTAGGAGCGATTCAATTGCATTGCCAGTTCTCCAGTTCTAGACTTTTTCCCGATTTTTTCAATGACTTCTCGATTAAATCCCCTCGCACCCCTGTTCCAAACCAACAGAGCCCGCTTGGAAGTGATATCTTCCAAACTTCCGCGTTGCCTCTCTCTCTCCAAGGTAATTCCCACCATTCTTTCGTGATTTGTTGAAGCCACAACCAACAACTCCACCACGTTTTCACTGCCGTGTTCATCAATTCCAATTGTCCCTCATCACCGCCAAAATTGTTATTCTTATTCTCCACTAATACCTCTATGATCCCCCCCACGGCTTTAACTTGTGATTCCATACTTTCCCAAAATTCTTTCCCAGTTTTCGCAGTTTCAGCCATTTTTGCAGTAAAGTCCAAAACTTGCCTCTCCATCGGCGTAGTCTCCATCTGCGATTGTATGTTCAATATACCCTGCAACATCATCGCATCATCGTTGACATATGGATCATGGACGACAGGATCCAATCTATCCCTGGAAGTATAGAGGAAAGGGCGACCGGTTTCACCAGAATCCGGACGGTAGACGGTTCTAGTACCTTCCTTGATCGCGCGGTATTTTAGAATGCCTCCGCCAAAACCGCGAACCATCAGATCCCAAAAGTCTTGAGTGTGAACGTCTTCCAAATACTGGACGCCGATGGGATAGAAATCGACATGTGTTTTTATAGCAGGCTCTATGAGAATAGGTTGACTCTTGGAGCCGTGAAGTTTACTGGTGAACGAAGGGTACATCATTTCGGCAAATTGACACAGGAGACGACGGGACCGCTGGTTGACGGGTTTCTTGAGGTCAATTCCTCCGAAAATCTATCATTTCAAAAGTTTCATGTTAGCAACTCGAATAATCATCTGGAGGGGAGAGAAAGTAAAAGATATCAAGTGCTAAATTGACTTACTGCCCATTGCCAGCTCCAGCCAAGCTCCGCGCTCTGCTCCGTTCCAAAATATCCTTCTCTGTTATTTGTAAATACACGAACACCTAGACGATGCAGAGACTGATAATAGCCTATCGCATGCATAAGTTCGTGCGCAATCTGAAAACACGTTAGTTCATGAGGAGTAGACAGCCTTTTACTCCAAACAAACTCACGGTACTTGCACAGCGATATCTGATACCTGCCAACTCGGAGTCTGATAAGTCTTTATACTGGAAGAAGATAGGCTCCAAAGATTCAACGTTGAGAAACATTTGAACTCGCCACTAGTTCAATTAAAATTAGATAATTCCGTCGATGAGCACATAGGTACTGTCAAGCAGGTAAACAAAATTCTGGGGACTAAGTACCTTAGCACCGGGTTTCTTCTTGATGAGCATTTCCCAAGTATTGATTGTTGAAACTCCCAAAGCATCTCCAAATTTCTTGACCGGGTATGTTGGATCATTGTTGGGTGGATCGTTATCTCTCACGTTCTGATGGCTATAGAAATACGAACACATAAAATCCATTTCATTCATCAACCCGCGAAAGACCCGATCTCTTTCGGCCGCGACTTCGTTTTCGCGTTCAACAGTCCATGGACCTTCTCGAGGGCTGAAGGTGTGGTATTCTTTGAGAATCTTTGCGCCTGGTGGGTATCTATCTGGATGGACAGGAGCGCGGGGTCCAAGGAGGAGAGCATCTAGCTGTCAAGCGGTCAATTTAGATTAGCTATAAGCAAAGCATAAGGTGAAAGGATAGATCATACCCATGGTAAACTTTTAGAAGACGTTATAAATTGCGAAGCAAGTGTGACTATTGGTCTGAGAACCTCCCATACTTTATCATTACTCGATTGCCATTTTCCACCATCGGGGTCATGCCTCTATCGCTCGAAAGAATCAGTAACAATAATCATTCATGACACTATTCGAGAAGAATTATATCTAGCGAGCTTTTCGAAGAACGAAAATATGAAGAACTCACAATTGGGACACTATCTGTCCTCAACCACGCATCACTCGGCTTATCCTCCCACCTATCCCTCTGCAAAATTGGTAGAATCCCTCCAGACAGCGTACTATCCCTCATAGGTCTATCACAAACCGCATCTAAATCCTTCAATTCTCTCGTGGTAAAGAGAAGTAGTTCCTGTTTCTGATACCCTCCGATTATATTGTGCCGATCATCCGATCTTGCATTTTCCCAATTTACTGGGAACAGAGGATCCAACGGCGTTAACCAACTCTTTCCCTGAGCTCTGTCTGGAGATTTAGGTCCGAATTTCCGAGCATATTCGGTATAAGGACGTCTCTGAGCATCTCTCTCGAATTTCAGCTGATGTTCATGGGTGGCTATTGGTGCTGGCTGCATGTTTCGAGATTGATATCTATCTCGGACTTCGAGGAAGCTGAAGATGCACATTTATCGTTTGATTTTAATATAATTTTTCATTTTTGTGGTGTTGCAACAAAGAGTTGAAATTGTAGCATTGGTGAAAGGACTAGCTTTTCAATCTTTTGTTTCCGGATATGTTTCGTCTGTCCCTGGACAACAATCAAAGGAGGAGTTACCGAAATGTTTCTTTGAACATCGTTTGGATCAATGAATAAAAGCAAAAGCATATTGTAGGAACGAGTGCTGAACGATGTCCTTCTTATCACCGATACATACTGTAAATTGGCTTGAAACCATACAAAAAATCATCGTACCTAGTAAATTTTATTCTCCCAATTCATATTTGACAGTAAGATAGTACTTCAAGCTCAGATGCCTAGGATTTCAATTTCATGTGCGATGTATTGCATCCTTCACGTGTTATTACAAAAATTTATCCCATGGAATATTTGACAGTTAGCATAACAAAAGGAAATTGACAATGCAATAGAATAGAAATTTGCACAAGGAAGAATGTCGAGATCATCTTGAACTCAGATGGATGCATAGGTAACGATGAAATGCTAAAAGAGAGAACAAAAGCCAGAACTACAAAGCTTAGAGTAGATCATCATAATCACTGACAAGAACTCCTGAAGTACGGGGACATCAAATTGGGTTAAAACAATTATATTTTCCATTAGTCATTACTGCCCTCGTGATCAATTTATCTCATGTCTTCGTTTCCTCCATTATTTGAATTTTAGGTGAACGCCCACACAACCACACAATCATCCCACAATCTTACAACCAGCCCACTGGAGTGGAGTCCATTTACCGACTATTCATAACTCTTGTCCTCGGTGAAAACTCTTTTAACATCAACTTTCACGCAAGTTGGGTTTTGTGGATCGGCCTCGCCCACAACCCAAGCCAAAGTGGTGTAGTGGTATCCCCAGTACGTCTCACAGATGTACCACCTGTAATAAGCTTCAGTACCAAAGCTAATTGGTGATACTGTGTCATCTTGATAACCCTGAATATTCAACAAATTGTCCTCGTCAAACGCTACACTCGTTGTGGAAGTCGTGCTAGGAGTGAACAGTGGTACCGCAACGTTGCTAGTGGCGCTATATGAAAGTCCGAAAGGCGAAGAAAGATTGAAATTTGCACCTTGAAGCAGCCATGTCAAAATACCAGTTTCGCCGATAGTAGCATTGAAACTGCTGTCGAAGGAGGATGTGTTGAAATTGAAGGTGGAAAAGGTAGCGTTTGGGCTAGAGATTGAAGGACCAAGGCAAAGTCCTTCGATAGCTGCACCCTCATGACAAGGCGAAAGAGTGGCGCCATTCAGGCTATCGTCTGAGGAGACAAGTGCGAGGTAAAATGGGGCGGATTGATTTGTGTATTGTGCCGTAACTTGAGTAGCTGCAGCCAGGAGGCCAGCGAGGACAAATGAGGTACGCATCCTGAATTTTGATGTTTGAATGTGTAAACCGTTTTTTTTTTCTAAGAATGCAATCTAGTATCGATCGAATGAATCAATAGTATCAAATCCTGGATGTGGGAATTAATTCTGTTGTAGTGAACGGAATGTTAAAGATGGGTGTTAATGAAGATAACTTTTTGATGGGAAGAGCACTTCTTTTATGTAGTCAGGTAGTATGTCTTTTGACAGAGGCAAGATCAATAACTACCTAGGGAAGGTGTAGAGGTGAGATGATGACGCCAAGGAAGGATCTCGTATTCACCGCACACCCAAAAGATCTACATGATTAGCATGCACACAACGGAGTAAGAAGTGGGAAGGAACAATGATGTGAGAGAAACACCTTAATTGCATGATTGAATATGATTGAATATGACAGTGGTACGAGGTATGATCGGATGTCACCAACTTGGAGTTAGACACCAAAATTCCCAAAGCAGGAACGTTTTGGATTACACAGTCTGATAGTGTACAACACGGGGGGCAGGGTACAGGCGGACAAGCCTAACCACCCCCCTGTTAACTACCCCGCATACAATACCACCTCGTATTCTTCAGTGACGGTGTACTATAAGACGAGACTATAAAAACATTATACAATATTGTATACTCATCCGTCAATAAACGAATGCTTTTCTAAGCTCTCACGAGGTAAAGTAACACCACAATCTATTCTGGTACCAAACAATACGATATCGGGCAAGTAAGAGTGTTACACGATAACATTCATAATCAAGACATGTGAGCAATCAAATCACCATAGGTCCTTCTGTCTGTGCTCTACTTGACAACTGACATGAGGTTAGTTGGTGAACTAACTCTCCAATATACATATACGACATATCCCCTAGACTGTTGGTTACAGCCGGCATATATAGCCTGTGTACAAACAAGAACATCAATAACTTCATAAATCATATCAAATATAAAAACTATTTAATTGAAATTGGACATTAGAATTTAATGAATTAATAATAATTAAAAGATTTAATATAGATTTATTTATTTTATTTCAAAAAAAATTTGATAGAAAGTTTTTAAATCCTATTATATTTCATATTCAAGATAATATACAATTTACGATTTCAAGAGCTCTTAGATTGTAATACTTTTATTAGCTAATAAGACACTATAAGTGGAACCCGGCTGTAACCAACGGTCTAGAGGATAACAAAATGGCATCCGCCATTATGCAAATATCTAAACCAAAACGCTAATACAAATAGACACTTTTGGCTGGTATAATAATAGAAGAATCATATCACCAGACTTGACCACTTTTCTTCAGTCTAAACTTGCCGATATCCGTAAAAAGAAAACATTCAAAGATCCAAAAAAACAACCCCGAGTAACAAAGTAACACATAAACCGAATAATCCACCATAACACTATTGATTCAAAACCAACAAAGAGTAACTAGAGAGTAATTGTGGAACGAAGTCTGTGATATTCAAGAACTTGTGGCATGATTTCAACACATCTACAAATTCTCACAGTACATACTCGTGCGGCCAGAAAGTATGCAACTCCTGCTTCAATAGGATTAAGCCACTGTGGGGAAGCTTTCTAGTGCTTAAAAGGGGCATAAATCATTGAAATTTGTGCTGAAAGTAATATGGCTTCAATATAAGCAAGCCATTCAATTGATTTATTTTTCCAAATCTCTATTTAATATAGTGGGATTAAAAAAAGCAGTGGATTCCATTGACTCATTAAAGCCGATATAGCGTATTTAGCGCCGGAGTTGCATACTTTCTGGCAGCACGAGTACCAAGATATTATGGAGCAAGTCGACAACGGACGTACAACACACGGATATGTACAGTAAATACCTACATAGATAGTGGGTGAGTCCCGCTGGGAAGGATATTTTCTAGGCCAGTTGAGTGAATACTTGCATGTATGTGATTTGGCACCTTCGACCCTTCGCCAAACCCCACTCTTAACAGCTAGCACCCGCTTGATTTAGTCGCGGCAGTCTACAGAGGTATCATACCCGAGTGGACTCCCCCGGTTAAATTCTACTTTTGGCCTTTAACCTGATCCATGTATACAGTAGATCAGATTATAAGGTTAAATTGTCGGCTTGGCGACAGAAGATCTAATCTAATCTTTGCCCCACGTCTCTTCCTCTCCCCATTGAATAGTAGGATACATCCCATCCAAGTTAGGTAAAGAATCCAATTTCATCCGTCTCAATGAAAATTTACAGGCACGACCCATCTGCTGGAAAGTTAAAATCGGTTTCTTGAGTTTCTTGTAAGTTAAAAAGAACCTCATTCCTATGGCACTCGGTTGCGAGATTTAATCGTTAAGGGCCTACTGAATGGAGCACAAGAGGCGAGATCTGTGTATTTGTCGTCTTAAGTGATGATATGGAGGGATAGAGTTTCACCTAGTCCTGTGAGCTACTAGGAAAATGCTTTAAAAGATATCGTTGTAGTCCAAACGCATGAATGGGGCCGTTTTTCTGCTGAATACTTCTTCTCATGCACTCAGCGTTGCCACTGCATCGGCTGCTGCTATCCAAGAACGTGCCAGTAATCTTTTCATCATTAACGACTTTAAAAGCTGCATGTATCAGCAACACATCTTGCTCGTAGGCATCCTTGCCTCATCTTATCAACCCTCGATCCATCCACTAACTGAACTCCTCAGTTACTCATTCGAGTATGCTATGACACAGGAACTGTTGGCGGCTCCACACCCTGGTCAAGCGCTCTCTCAACCACCGGCGGCATGTTTCCCGACATCGCCACAAGCGGCACTAGATGCGGCGGTATAATCGATTGGTATACGCGCATTTCTGAGAGTCTTGAGGTTTACGATTCCCTCTAGATTGCGTATACCAGTAAACCCGGAGGCTGCGTAGTTTCTACCAGCGAGCTGGGTACCATTGTTGGGCGCTATACTGATCCTACTGCTTGCGCTCTGGGCTAGTCTTAATAGATTGTGCAGTGTACTTCACAACATGCGGCCGGAAACGCTGCGGCGTTCCATCAAGATATATGTGGATGTAATTTAAAGGGGTTTCCTTAAGGTAGAGGTCCAGAACCTACAGCGATTTCTTTTTGGTTTAGGTCAGAAAACTGAGGATCTCAAAGTTGATACGGATCCTCTATCAGGGGATTCTATTGCAATTGGTACATTACCCCTCACAGAAAGAACTTAGGGATCGAAAAGGGAATGTTTGCAGATGATGATCAACTCTTTCGTTGTCTTACTGACAACATATCTGCAACCTAGCGTTTTCTTTTTCTCATCTTGATCCTTATTCCATGCGTTATACATCGGGAGAAAATCCAAATATTTTCGTCTATGTGTATGAAGAAGCTCTGCGTGATATTTCAGCGTAGACTTCTACAGAGTATACGATGGATCAGTCTCTTGGGGCAATGGAAAGTTAGCCTATCATTATACCAGCCTTCAAGAAGAGACACAAACATCTGCAAAGTAGGATTGACAATGGTAACTTCTTTACTAAACCGAGTTGTTCTATCTTATGTCTAAGATCATCTATCCTAGCTTTGAGCTTTTGGCATATGGATACTGTGGTTTCCTCTCAGGCTTGAGTTGCAGAGAACTCTCCTCGCGGAGGATAGTCCATGCGAGTGAATATTTCTTGGAGTTCAACGCCCTTATCTCTGACCATTATTACGTTCATTCCATGTGCGATCAAAGTTAGTCAGAGATCTCTGGGCTACAAGAGCCATATGTTAGCAGTCGAAAAGGATAATTGGCATCAATAACATACCAGTTGGAACACAATCCAAAGCTACTTTAATTTTGGTACTCTCAGGTTGCGCAAGCATGAAAGACACAGAATTCGCAATATATCCTCCGCAACAAGTGGCGGATATCCAGATGTGAACTCATCCATGGCATTTTGATCAAATTTGACTCTTTGAAGATGGAAATGTGTATTCACAACCCCAGGTCGGATTACCATGACGCGTATATTGGTTCCAGCTGTTTCCATTCTTAGACTATTACTGAAAGCTTCAATACATGCCTTGTTGGCATGATACACTGCTTCTCCTGGGAATGGAGGTGTTTCAAGACCGGTTACTGATGAAACGTTTAGGATTGTTCCTTTACTGTTGGGAATCATACTTCGATTGAGGACAGAGTGCGTGGTATACATTGTGCCGGAAACATTGGTTGTGTTCATTTGGTCAATGAGCTCAAGAGATAGCTCCCAGAATGCAGCGGGAGCTCCTAATGCTAGGCCGGCCTGGCCACAGAATAAACATTAATTTAATTCTTCTAGCAACTGAGTGACCTCTTATGAGCAGCACCTACGTTATTAATGAGAATATCGATTGATCCAAATTCAGTCACAGCAGACTCAACCGCTTTGTCAACATCTTTGTAATTTTGAATGTCAATTGCAAAACAGAAATTCTCGTGGAAAGGGTTTTTTGACAGAATCTTCTCTTTAATCTTGTCCAACTTGTCCTGGTGAAATCGTTAGTTTATTTTTACCAAGATATCGGCAAAATGCTACTTACTTTACTACGAGAAAGTTATACTAGGTTAGCTCCGTAATTTGCAAGTCGTGTTGCGACCCGCTTCTCCAATTCCCATGGATGCACCAGTCTAAGAGAATGGAGGTCAGTAAGTACTACAAGTATAACGAGATCCATATATCCATACCACCAAAGCCGTTTTATCTTTCACAGGAACGACATTATTATTATTGTCTTTTGAGTATTTCTCTGTACAATCAATCAATGTGAATCAACATTGTCGTTTATTGAAGTAGCGAAATATATATGCCAACAACATGTTGACATACAGCATCTATGTTGCTCATTTGGGATCTTGATGATAAATCAATGTTGCTGAATGACTCATAAACATAGATTGATCAAAAATGATTGGCACGCATAGAACTCTCTCCTGGCTTTCGATGAAAATTAGATGCTATCGCCGCCTGCCCACCAAATTTTTCTGGGTCTGAGGAAGCTTAATAATAGGCTTGATGATGATGAACATTCGCTATTGGCTCATTAAAGGCTTCTTTTGGTGGGGTAGAAGTTTAAAATGACGTTTTCCCAGATACCGCGAGTCGAATTATGAACTCTGTTTCGATGGGGGTTGGTTCATATCAGAGTAGTAACTATGATACTAGATGACTAGTACCTAGTCAGCATATGGTTTATCTGGTACTCTAAATAGTGTCTACGAAGTATCAACTTACTTATCACAATCACTTATATTGGATATCAACACAAGACATAGTGGTTTGTTTGCCAAATTATGCATAATTCGAGATATGAGGCACAAGTGCGATCGAATACTAATAAATCTTTATCACAAAAGAGACAAGCTTCCACCATTTGAGTATATCCTATAAGGCATCCCAATATTGAAGAAAATAAAGTATGCCGGTATCTTTCAGATATCGATACATAATCTCTCATGTGTTCTTTTGAATGGGTCATCAGTCAGAGACGAGTTAGATTTTGGGCAGAGAGAAGTTGCATTGCCATATCGCCAAGATGAGCTGTTTTCAATGAAGTCCAGATTCGAAAACCGTTGCCAAAACCACGGAAAGGCACCAGAGGAACGTACTCAGAAAGAAGATCTGGCATGATTCTGTTGATGAAATTGGGCCGGTACCTTCCTTGGAGATAAAGGGAGCGAGGATGATTGGTAAATGGTCTGTGACTGGACTCGGGACGGAGTAAATTGGTCGAGGCCTTTGGGGAGAAAGATCCCAAAAGCAAAAACTAGTAGAAGTTTCTCATATTTCGGGGCTTTCTGGCACAGTCGATCTGGAATGTGAGAGACTGGATCGTGTAGTAGAAGGGATGTTGAGGGGGTTAACCTCGAAGATTTAGTGACAGTGTATTAGCTTACCCCTCTTGAACACTCCACTAAATTGACCGAGCTTAGTGTGAACATACCCTGTTTCCTCTTCGTTGGAACTTTCTCCACTGCTTACCTCAATACTCAAATCCTTTTCAACGCCTACCACAAATCATTCCTTCTGAGATTTCATAGCTGCATCTGCCAGGAAATCGCCAACTGTGGATTTATCGCCGACGAAATCAATTTTTGGGCCTTCAACAGATTCATTCCTTATATTAAACTCACTACGAATAGCCCCCGAGCGTCCTCAACATCACATTCGTGACTGGCAACTTGTTGAACGTCCTTATTCTCGACCAGCCACCCAGAGACTGAAACTCTTCAAGTTAATAGTCCTAGATCAGACGTCATTGCTACCACTAGCCACAACGGCAATCAAGGGCAGCTTTCTCAAAGACTTCCGGCCTGATAACAATCGACGCATCTTCGCCAAAATTAGCTCGACCTGTAAATAGTGTATGTGGAAAGTTTGTCCATCAAATTTGGGGCAGCGGCTTGATCGGCCCGTGTATTCTGATACTAACTTAGTTGTTGTCATGGCTAACGGATGGGTCAAAGCAAGAGAGTAATGTAAGAAGTGTATGGCGCAGTCCATGAATACGTTCGAAACTGTATGATGTTCTCTGTTTTGAGACTGTTATGATGTTTGCACTTGATAGCTGTAACGCTTTATCATGCTCTTTCATTTCTCCTATTATATTTCTCTCAATGAACCAATTAATAGTATAGCTGGAACGATCTTCTGCTTTGGAGCTCAAGAGAAAGTTAAAATGATAAGATTTAGGGCTAGTTTGGATGTAAAATCCGTGTTGAATCCGCTGAAATAATCTGTACTTTGTGTTATTGCAGATTCCGTGGTGGCATCAATCCGTTTCAAAAAGAGTGGATTATTAATCTGTGGTTTTATAATTTGAATATCAAATCCGCTAAATAATCTATGGTTTTTCTAGAATATTCAATTTAAATTTCAATTCGATATTAAAATCCTATATTTAAAATTGAGAATTATATAAAAAGTGTTAAAAGGAATAGAAGTTACCGGTGCTAAGCACGTATAGTGATTAGTAATACAGCTACCTAAACGGGCTAGATTAAACAAACTATAGACAGACATATTAATCCCCTTATATAATATTATAGGGAGATCAATATACTTACACACATAACTATATAATCAATATAAAAACCTCTTCCACCCAATTTTTTAATAAATTATAAGATCCGGTTAGTATAGCTTCTAAATAGAATTGACATAATCAATATTACATCCAGTTCACGGAGTTAAAGAGTATACAGCACTATCTTATGATCAATATGCGGTACTATAATCGATTACCATTACTAACTCACAGAATTGAAGAGTATGCGGTGCTATCTACACTTATATATTTATAATTACAAATTTATATAATATTATTTATACAAAAAAAAAAAAAAAAAAAAAAAAAAAAAAGGAAAAACTTTACAAATTCTTTATATAGATATTAAAATGGATAATATCAAGGAGTAAGTTAAGTATATCCCAACTCTTACCCAAAAGATTTATAAAAAAATAATTTTAGCAAATGAAAATACAATTAAGAGGAAAGTGTGACACTTTGCCTTAGAAGAACTGCGAGAGCAGGGTACAATTTATCCTTAGAATCTACAACTACAGAATCGGGAGCAAAGCGCTCGTAGAGCGCTCCTATATACTAGCTATGTACACGTGATCGTGCACGTGCGCAAGCGCGCACGTGAGCGATCGCAGCTGCGATTGGGTGCGATCCGTGACACTACCCCCCCTTTCGAAAAAGCTTGCCCTCAAGCTTCACAATTACCTAATCCGTAGACGCATCGGCGATCCCAATGAGGCGTCGTTGTTTACGTTGTAGCATGGCGTGGTAAACGGGCGTGTGCGCAAATTTTGCTTTTTTCGCGACGGGAAGGCGCATGGGAAACGGAGGAAACCGTCCTGTAGC